GAGTTGTATCTTCTTTCTCCCACCTGAGCAACCCAGTGTGTTCTGAGCATTCTGTCTCTTAGGTCTCCCCACAACCCTCTCCTCCTGTCAGTTTTCAGGGCACCGTGTCTCCTACAATTTTCATTTTCTATTAAGGAATATCATCTTCAGAGGCGTGATCCCCTCCCTCTGACGGTGTTGCTTTAAGCGCAATCCTGTAGAACACGAGCTCTCGGCAGCATTTCTTGAAAAGTGTTCTCTGGGTATAAATAGGTTGGGGAATTGCTGGATTGAGCCCAGATGGATTTCCCTGCTGCAGGACTTGCCAGAGCTTTGATTTGTCCCAGAGAGGACCAAGATGTAGAGGCCTTCAGGAACCCACATAGGTGGTTTGTGATGGAGCCCCTTGCAGGATTACTGTTCTCTAAGAACACATTTTGGGACATGCTACTTTAGAGTAGCAACTCTGACTCTCGGGTTGCCCGCGTGGAAGGTGCAACCTGGCCTAGGCGGACCAAGCTAACCTCGTGACCTTGGTCCCTTGCTCACAGTGCCAGGCCGTACCATCCCTGTATGTAAAATGAGGAGGTTGGAGCAAATCATCACTAAGGCTTTTCCGTGTCCTCTGTTGAGATTCTGACATTGTTTTTATTTTTTTTCTTCAAAATAAAGTGGTTTGACATGGAAGGAATATGCAGTTATTTCTAGTAGAGCAGGGGGTGCGTTGTCCTCAGTTCAACTTCTGGCATTTGTAAAAATTCCAGGCCCACAGCACTGGTGCTCTGTGACCATTCTCCCTTGGGGTGCAGAGAATGACCTCACCCCAAACTTCATGCTTGACTGTTCAGCACAGTGGAGCTGGCGGGAGGTAGCAGAGCAGCCAGACAGCTGACCGGGCAGGTGCCGCCCCTCCCACATCCCGCTGCCTTCCTCCCCCAGGTTCGAGGCCATTCACCATGAGCTGAACAAGGCCACGGCCCAGAACAAGGACCTGCAGTGGGAGATGGAGCTGCTCCAGTCAGAGCTGACGGAGCTGAGAACCACGCAGGTCAAAACCGCGAAGGAGTCCGAGAAGTACAAGGAGGAGCGGGACGCGGTGTACAGCGAGTATAAGCTCATCATGAGCGAGCGTGACCAGGTCATCTCTGAGCTGGACAAGCTGCAGACCGAGGTGGAGCTGGCCGAGTCCAAGCTCAAGAGCAGCACATCTGAGAAGAAGGCGGCCAGCGAGGAGATGGAGGCGCTGCGGCAGGTAGGCTATTCCTCAGCAAGAGGCGGGGCTGGCTGGACAGACTTCTGAGTGACAGTAGAGAGTTCTCACTGGAGGCCTAAGTGCTGGCAGGTCACTGCTGGGCTCAGGCTCAGTGTTCAGCTCTAGTGGGATACAGCAGGGTGGGTCCAATGGGAAGGGAGGTCCAACCACAGTCCTAGATATCCTGGGAGAAATCAGATGACACTCTAGTTGCTGTCACATCCAAAGCCACTCTTTAAGCTCAGATCAGTTTTGTGCTGAAAGTCAGAGATATCTCAGACTTGCTCATTATGAAGCAAATCCCAAGTCCAAGTTCCTTTTTTTTTTTTTTTTTAAATGTAGTTGGATACAATCCTTTTATTTATTTAGTTTTATGTGGTGCTGAGGATCGAACCCAGGGCCCCGCATGTGCTAGGTGAGTGTTCTACTGCTGAGCCACAACCCCAGCCCCCAAGTCCAACTTCTTAGAACCATATATCTGTTGGCCTCATGGGTCAGAGGAACATCCTTTGGGCACTTCTTCTTCTTCTTCTTCTTTTATTTTTTTTAAGTTCTGGATGGACCTTTATTTTATTCATTTATCTGTATACGGTGTTGAGAATCTAACCCAGGGCCTCATGCATGCAAAGCACATGCTCTCCCACTGAGCCGCAGTCCCAGTCCTCCTCTGGGCACTTCTGACCAACACTGCTCTTCACAAGGTTGCCCCAGGTCCCTGCTGAGATGTGCTAGTAGGCTGAGCCTGCCCCCCTTCTAAAGCCCCCTGGGGGTGGTTCCTCTGGGGTTGGGGGACTGGAGTGTTCAGTGGCACTGAGACTAGGTCACTCAACTCATCTCTGAGTGATTTCTATGGATTCTTCACAATCTTCCTACCGGGCCACCTCCATCCCCACTGCCACCTTAGCACTGATGCTTCTCCCCTGAGCTCCCCTACTCTGCTGGGGTGAGGACAGCATGGGAGATTCTCTTTGCATTGTGTGGGTCAGTGCAGAGGTGGGTCTGGCTTGGAGTGATCTGGCCTGGTTATAACAGGTCGTGCCCCGCCACTGCCCCCTGGTCTTCATTACTGTCCTGTTTAGGACCAGGGTGAATGCTGTGACACTGTTTTACGAATGGGCCAAATAACAGCAGTTTCATACAAGGGGACTGGGACCTGTGCAGACCATTAAGGTGAGAGCCAATGTGAAGAGGAGTATTTACTTTTATTATTTATTGATTTTTGTGCTGGGGATGGAAGCCAGGGCCTTGTGCATGCTAGGCCAGCGCTCTACCTCGGAGCCACACTCTCAGCCCCTACTTTGATGAAATTTTTGTAAAGAACATTATAAGAAGGAATTTTAGGTTGATAATAAGATAATACACCAGAGCTCAGTACGTGTCCTAGGTGAGGGCTCCTTTTCACACCCTGGTGTCTGCACACTTAATCTTGAGTGAAATGTTGATATCAGATTAGAAAAACAAAATGGTACAGAAGAAAAATCTGAAAAGACCTAGTCAGTCACCAGACTAGAAGGTCACAGAAGGTTGTTTATACACAACCTGTGATAGGACACAGAGCCCACATGGATGGGTTTTTGAGATCATCGGAGTGACCTGTGAAGACCGTGGACATCTAGGAGCATGGGGAAGTAGAGCACCCAACCCCCCTCCCCCGGCACTCCAGGTGTACCCTTCAGCCCAGAGCCTGCCCTGCACAGGGAGTGTTGGCTGGGCCTCAAGCCTGCCTGTCAGCTGAGACAGGAACCCTTTCCAGGCATTGTTCCGAGTCAGTGGGCAGGAGGTGACCAGAACCCCTTCCCCCACCCGAGGCTTCCAGAGCTGAGAGCCCCAGCACCCTCTCCCGCTGCTGCTGTGGTTCCATGTATAGTACTGCTCCCTGCCACCCAGGGGAGGCCAGGTCTGTGGCCCCGGCCATCCCGGCTTGGGGTCAGACCCCACCCTCCTCAGGAGCCCAGCTGGTCTAGCTCTTGGGTTGCAGGAGGTCTTGATTCTGCCCAGCCAGGGAGTGGTGCTTTCTGGACTTGTGCTTTTCTCCACTCTGTTCCCCTCTCTCTGTGCCTCCCTCTTTGTTGTCCATGACCTGAGAGGCCTCTGTTCTGTCCAGTGCCCAGAGTGGGTATATCCTCTGGGGCTACTGTCATGACAAGGTTGCTCTCCCTGCCATCAGCTGGCCTGGTCTAGTGAAGGCCATTGCTTTTAGGAGGATGGAGGAAGAAGTTCCCCCAGGTTCTAATTCCCCCCTGAGCCCCACTAATAGAACATTGTCACATAGAAGACCAGCAAAGCCACTCTGGCTCACAGTGGCTTTTCTGTTCCCGTGGCCGTCCTAATGCAGTTGCATATCCACCCACAAGTCCAGTTTGAGGAGCTGAGGTTGGCTGTGGAGGCTGAGCAGCGTGACAAGGCTGCAGACACTTGGGCAGAGGGCTCTGTCGGCAGGGGCTGCCAGAATAGAAGCCAGCTGCCCACCTGGGAGCATCTGTTGAAGGCCACCACACCTGCATCCCACCTTCTCTCTGGGACCTTGGCGTGGGCTCTGCCATCTCTTCTCCAAGTGCACCAAAGCCAGGCAGGCAGAAGTCATAGGCAGTGCGTATGAGGACTGAGGTCCTATGTGGGGGGCACAGAGTGGACTGAAAGTCCACTCTCCACTGTGACGGGACCTGGGGCAGGTCATGGCCAGGATCCTGGGCTTCGTCATTAGCACCATCAAGGAATCGGGCAAAGATTACTCCAGTCTCGTCCTCCACATTTCTCTGTCCTTTTAAAGAGATCTCATTACTCCCCACCCCCACTCTAAAACTCTTAAGGAAACTGGGGGGAATTCATTTTGGAGAAAAACAGTGCCAAGGAGCCCGTGGAGAGGAGTCGGGGGGAGAGGGCAGGAGCCGCTCCATTCCCCAGCGTGGGCTTTTCTGTGTTTCCACCTCTGTCTCTAGGTTGAGATTATCATCCAGCACAAAATGGAAAAGCCTTTCAGAAAATCAAATATAAACATGTTTCATATTTAAAACCACGCATGTGTATATTACCCAACATTCAACACAATGTAGATTTTTAAAAAACGTGATCATTAAATGTATTATTTATTATAACAAATTATTGATAGAATTAGTACAAATAGTCTTTAATTTTTTCAAGGTTATTTTTATGCTCGATGCAGCATAAAAATAGGGGAAAAAACGAAACTAAAATAATTAGCATCCATCTTGGGCAACAGAAGTTCGGAGCAAAGCATGCCACCGTGTCACTCTTGGGTTACAAAACACTTTTTTGTCCAAATTTCCCCCTGGTTCCTGCTGACTGTACTTGAGCAACGAAGGTTAGTTATGAGCCTATTCCAGGCTTATGACCGGTTTCCATGGTGAGAACTAACCTTAGCAACTTAGACCCTGTCTCAAAATAAAATGAAAAAGTAGAGATGTAGTTGTGGTAGAACGCCCCTGGGTTCCATCCAGGGAACTGCAAAAAGACAAAAAACCCAAAAACTTAGATGCACATTATTCACAAGCAAAAATTCTGGAGTATTTTCATTTTTTATAAAAATTCAGTGTGGGCTGGGGATATGGCTCAGGCGGTAGCGCGCTTGCCTGGCATGCGTGCAGCCTGGGTTCGATCCTCAGCACCACATACAAACAAAGATGTTGTGTCCGCCGAGAACTAAAAAATAAATATTAAAAAAATTCTCTCTCTCTCTCTCTCTCTCTCTCTCTCTCTCTCTCTCTCCTCTCTCACTCTCTCTTTAAAAAAAATAAAAATAAAAATAAAATTAAAACTCAGTGTGTGCATTATAGACACTAGTACTGCAGACATGGGGGCAGGTGGGAGGAAAAGTTATGACCAACCCTTCACTGCCTTACATCATCACATTTTGTCCCCAAAGCTCCCTTTTTCTAAGTTTATTATTTAATCGGTACATTATAGTTAGACATAAAAATGGAATTCATTGTGACATTCACACATGGCACACTTTTGAAATCTTGACGGCTCTTCAGCGCTTTGCAGTGGCCTGTTAGATATAAACCACGGAAGTGGCAGGACGAGCTCGGGCAAAGCACTCATGGAGACAGTCCACCCAGGCTGATGAGGCCATAGCTGGGTACGGCCTGGGGTTCAGGTGCAGACTGGTGTGAGACTGTGAGAGTCTGGGTTGACCCTCGCCTAGTGCCACTTGTGGTCTGACCATGTCTGTCAGTGTGCCGTGTGGGGGTCCCATGTAGGAGGGGGTGTGCTAGATTTAGTCTTCCCTCCACACAGCTCTCTAGAGGAGCAGACCCACCTCTGCATTGGGAGGAGGTGGGCTTCCACTCCAGGAGTCTCAGCAGCACCCCAGCACCACCCCCTGCCTGTCTCTTGCCCCCAGATCAAAGACACGGTGACAATGGATGCTGGGAGAGCCAACAAGGAGGTGGAGATCCTTCGAAAGCAGTGCAAGGCTCTGTGCCAGGAGCTGAAGGAAGCCCTGCAGGAGGCCGATGTGGCCAAGTGCCGCCGGGACTGGGCCTTCCAGGAGCGGGACAAGATTGTGGCGGAGCGCGACAGCATCCGGTATGGGTACCTTGGGCCAGGCGTGAGCTTACGTTTCCCCAGGTCACGCTAAGGTCTGTTGGGAGGGTCAGAATTGGACACTGTATGTCCAGGTAGGGTGGCGGGGACCTGGGCTCCTCCCTCTCACCCCTGGCTGACGTTCAGACCTCACCTCTTGGCTTTGGAGTTTTGCACTGTGTCTCTCCTTCCTGTTTAACTTCACCCCAGGTATCCTGAGTGTGTGCGTGTCCCGGTGAGACCCCTGAGAAGTGGCACAGGGATGGCCACTTTGAGGGCTTCTCATGACAGTAGCACATTGGGAAATGCATTCTTTCAGCATATTTACTAGGTGCCAACTGTATGCAGGATTGTAGATCCCTTGAGCATAAAGACCTTGAGAGAGGCTCCCAGGTGCATATGATGTTCATGACATGTTGAGCAGCTTGGATGGGGGGCAGCGGGGGATGCATGGATGTTATGTCTGGGGCCTCAGCCAGGGCTGTCCTCGGGCACAGGAGCTCTCCTGAGAAAGTGTGGCATTCAGGCTAGAACTTGGAGCTTGAATGGGGCTTTTCAGGTGATGAGGAGGATGGCACTGGGAAGAGAGGTCATTGAGGGGTTTCTGGAAGATCCCCTGAGTCTGTTTGGGTAGAGACCTATGGCCCTGGGGGCTGGTCAGAGGCCCCACCAGTGGAGAGGAGCAAGGCGAGGTGCTCTCCGGGGCATGGAGGGAGTACTGAGGCCTAATGGGGCTCCTGTCTGCTCCTTTTCTGACCTGAGCTGCAGGTTTCTCCAGCGTACAGTTCTGAACTGGGCTCTGATCAAGACAGGGAAGGTTTGACTCTGTGGAGAGGTGAGGACCAGCCCCCAGGACACATCCAGTGCTGGAGATGGCAAAGAGCACAGCCATCTTCTGCTCCCTGATGGGTCATGTGTCCCCACCTCCCTGGATGGCTGATACAAGCTGTGGTCCCCTTTTGCAGAGTCCCACTGAGCTCACACGTTGCACTTGGACAAAGCTCAGGGTGGCCGAGATGTGTGAGGATCAGGTTCTGGCTGAGTGGGCTCCCAGCCTAGGTGTAGGGTTGGGGGTGCGTCTAGAAAGCCCTGCGTGCAGGTGGCTAAGGGATGTGAGGTGAGTGCTGAAGAGGGGGCCTTCCAGGCATCTGGGGTGCTTCACTGCAGAGGAGAGCCACTCCCCTCCCCCAAGCCTGAGTTAGAATAAGTGAGCATGTGCAGACGGTGGTTCTTAACCTCAGGCTCACCGAGAGTGGAGCAGAAGGAGTAGAGGTCACTGGGAACCTGGTGACTGTGGGGTTTCCAAGCACTCCTTCTGGGGGTGAGGCATGTGCCTGCAGGTGTTTGGGAAGGGACCTGCCGGGCTGTTTGCTACTGACATAAGCCCTTCCTCCGTCCCCCTGCCCCTCAAGGTCACCTTACCCTCTGCCTTCCCTGCCAGGACACTGTGTGATAACCTGCGGCGGGAACGGGACCGGGCAGTGAGTGAGCTGGCTGAGGCCCTGCGCAGCCTGGATGACACTCGGAAACAGAAGAACGACGTCAGCCGGGAGCTTAAGGAGCTCAAGTAGGCTTGGGTGGGCATGTACTGTGACCATGACATCCCTGCTCCCTGCAGAGCACTGAACCCAGAGCACACTGGGCTTGTCCCTGTGTGCAGGCCCTGCATACGTCCCTTCACATTGCCTCACTTTGTCATTCTGTGAAATGGTCCAGGTCAGTTCCGTCCCCCTGTTAGCAGTAAGAATTCTTAGACCAGCACAGAAGACAGCTGCAGTCTGTGATAAGCCTGTGGGGGTGGAACAGGTTGTTCTGCTTGTGTTCTGTGGATGCCATTCCTAAGACTATTTGGGATGTCAGGCACTTTCTCTTTGGTCACAATACCTCCCAGAGCATCATCTAAACACTTGGGACCACTAGCAGAGAACTGACAATACCAAGTTCAGAGTTAAAAAATTGAAATTGGCGGAGTCCAGTAACCACAACGCGGTCTAGAACCAGACTCTTGTCTGGTGTGCCGTCGCGGAGACAGATGGAACAGTGTGCCGAACTCTCGGTGCACAGCGTTGGCTGCACTGGCCTGGAAAGAGGACTGGAGGCTGAGAAGCCTTCTAGAATTTGCCAGGGGGAACCCAGCTGAGCATCCATAGAGACCTGGGAGCCTGCAGGACACAAGAGCAGTTCACACAGATGCCAGGAGCCCAGTGGGTATCATGGATAAATTGGAAAGGTAGCCTGGGCCCAGATTTTAGAAAGAAGGGCATCACACGTAAGTCATTGGGGGGTTGACGGGTTTCTGAGTCTTTTTTTTTTTCCATTCTCTTTGCTAGGTCTTCTTAAGAGCTAAAGTTTAAATTTCTGATGGACTAATTTATTTATTTAAAAAAAACCCTCATAATGATTTATGTCTAAGACCTTTCACATAGTCCTAGAACTCAAAGATATTCTCTTGTTTTCCTTATAAAGGTTTTATAGTTTCATGTTATGTATTTGAATTTGTGGTATGTTTCGAGTTTGTGTGGAGGGAAGGGCTTTAGTTGAGGTTCCTTGTTTTCCATGGTGTCCTGCTGTCCGGCATCATTGACCCAGGACTGTCTTTTTTTTTTAACCTTAATTTACTTTTTTGTGGTGCTGAAGATCATCAAACCCAGTTTCTCACATCTGCTAGGCAAGTGCTCTGCCACTGAGCCACACCCCCAGTCCCCGGGATTGTCCTCTTGTTGATTACATCTGCACCTTGGTATTTGTGTGGCGCCATTTCCAGGTCCCTTGTTCTGTTCCATTGATCTGCGTGTCCGTCTCTCTGCGGTATCACGTAGTCTTCATCATAGTTGGTTTTCAGGAAGTCTTAAAACCAGGTAGAGTGACTCCTCCCCCTTGATTGTCCCATTTTCAAAATGGTCAGCTCTTCTCATTCCTTTTCGTGTACCTTTGGGAATAATTTTGTCTGTATTTTTAAAAAAAGTCCCAATGGCATTTTGACCTGAACTGTTTTAAGCCTCTCGATAAATCTGGGGAGAATCTGTCTTTTTACAAAAGCCCCCGTGAAAGCCCTCTGATAACCCAGGAAGCCTTGGCTGGCCCTCCAGGCACGGTGGAAGCTGGCCTAGAGTACCAGAAAGGAGCCCCGGAGGGCTTTCGTGAATGGCAACCTTGGCGCGGAGTTGTGAAGCCAGGGGATGTTTTTGCTTTCCGAAGGGCCATCGCCATAGTTCTCTCTGTTCGCAGGGAGCAGATGGAATCCCAGTTGGAAAAGGAGGCCCGATTCCGGCAGCTGATGGCCCACAGCTCCCATGACTCGGCCATCGATACAGATTCCATGGAGTGGGAAACAGAAGTCGTCGAGTTTGAAAGGGAGACGGTGAGCTGCCTTGGATGGCTTTTCTCCCCGAGCATGACATGAAGACCAGGGATGGCCCTCTGGCAGTGTCTCCGTCTCACTGCTACCATTTCAGAGGACCAGCTTTTTAAAAATTTTTAATTTATTTTTGTTTAGTTGTAGATGGACACAATATCTTTATTTATTTTTATGTGGTGCTGAGGATCCAACCCAGTGCCTCACACATGCTAGGCAAGCGCTCTACCACTGAGCCCCAGCCCCAGCCTAAGGACCAGCTTTTCCCCCTGGGGTGGAAGTCCATCCTTTCTTGCAGCGGTCCGAGATGGGCTGTAGCAGTTGGTGTCCCGTGCCTCACAGTGTGCTGCATAGCACAGCAGAGGGAGGAGTGGAGCACAGGGGAGGTGCTGGCGGGGATGTGTGTCTGCAGGGGCCAGAGCGGGCAGGTCGCAGCTCCCCCCAGCCTTCCATTCTGGGGACTGAGTGAGGGTGGCTTGGGGGCTTAGGAGCCAAATGTTTCTGCTCACTGCTTGGTAAAGTGTGCTGCTGCTGTCCCGACAGGAGGAGGTTGACTTGAAGGCACTTGGGTTTGACATGGCAGAAGGTGTGAATGAGCCTTGTTTCCCAGGGGACTGTGGCATATTTGTCACGAAAGTGGACAAAGGAAGCATTGCTGATGGCCGCTTAAGGTAACAGTTAAGGATGTCTGGGTCCAATGCAAGAGGACTCGGAGAGTCGGGTAGTGCTGGGATGAATGGATCCCAGCATCTGGGGATTCAGAGTCTCTCTGAGGCCTCAGGCTCAACTGCTAAGATTGGCTTAAAAGGAGACACTGTGTCTCTCAGTTGTCTCTGAATCTGGTTTTTCTCTAGTTACCAAGGGTTGTCTTTTGGCAGAGGGCTCAGGTGGGATGTGTTGAAGCCGAGGACTTGTGCCACGTTCTCATTCCATGAGTTGTATTTACTAAGTACTGGTTTAAGCACTTTATATAAATGAGTTGATTAATCTTTGCAGTCCTGTAAAGTCAGTGCAATTGTTGGTCCTATTTTATAGATGAGGACACTTGACACACAGAACAGCTAGGTCCCCCAGCTAGTAAGTGGCAGAGCCAGGATTTGAGCTCAAGTTGTCTAGCTCCAGCCTCTGTAAACTTAACCACCGTATGCTCCAGGGAGAGGAGCTCTTTCTGAATGTGAATGCAGGGCAACTGCTTTTTTTTTTTGGCATTTGACCCCTGAATGGGAGTGGTGGTGTGACCCAAAGGGCCCAGGATCCTTGTGATTGCCAGTCGGGCTGTGTCTCTCCTCAGGGTCAACGACTGGCTGCTGAGAATCAACGATGTGGACCTCATCAACAAGGACAAGAAGCAGGCCATCAAGGCCCTCCTCAATGGAGAGGGGGCCATCAACATGGTCGTGCGGCGGAGGAAGTCCCTGGGTGGGAAGGTGGTCACACCCCTGCACATAAACCTCAGTGGACAGAAAGGTAGGGAGCCTGCAGAGGTGGCAGGTGCCCTTTCTGGCTGGCAGGGCTTGCGTGTTTGCAGAAGCACATCAATCTCAGGTATGAGTTGTTGATGCCATTTAAATGCAGCCTGTGTGCTTTCCTGGCAGGGGGTTGTCTGGGTCTCGAGTGTCTGATTCACCAGACTGGGTGTGACTGAGCCCCCTTATGGGTGTGACCAGGTGGGGGTACTGGGCTGGACAGTGTGCAGTCTGCTGACCTCCCCTTTTATAAGTTTCATTAACCAAGATGGGGTGGGGCCAGGTGCTGTGGCACACGCCTGTAATCCCAGCAGCTTGGGAGGCTGAGGCAGGAGGATCATAAGTTCAAAGCCAGCCATAGGCACTCAGCAACTCTTTGAGACTCTGTCTCAAATTAAAATACAAAGTAGGGCTGGGGATGTGGCTCAGTGATTGAGTGCCTCTGGATTCAATCCCCGGTACCTCAAAAAAAAAAAAAAAAAGGGGGGGGGCAGCCAGAACAGGGTTGCCCACTACCATCCTGTGGCTTGCAGACAGCGGCATCAGTCTGGAGAGTGGAGTGTATGCTGCTGCTGTGGTACCTGGAAGCCCTGCTGCCAAAGAAGGGTCCCTCGCCGTGGGAGACAGGATTGTGGCGGTGAGTTTCAAGGACGGAGCCAGGCTGTCCGCTGCTCCCATATGGCTGGGTTACGTAGGAGAGGTTTGAGCAAGAAGTCACGAGCAGAGTTTTCATACGTCCCTTGTTCTTGGGCATTGCACCATGTTAACATTCGAAAAGTAATTATTCCCCCCAACAGTGTCAAAATACTACTGCAGTCAACACTAGAAAATTATGAAATACAGAAAATGCCTAGGAAGGAAATAACAAACGTTTGTATTGCTACCACATAGAGATAATATTTGCTTTTTTTTCCCCCCTCCTTCCTGTGGTACTGGAGATTGAACCCAGGGAGGGACACTTAACCACTGAGCTATATCCCTACCCTTTTTTATTTTTTATTTCCAAAATAACTTGGACATGCTGGCCTTGAACTTGCAATCCTCCTGCCTCAACCTCTCCTTCTCAGAAGGGGTTATATATAGTTCATTCACCATTCCAAGACTTTTGGACTTGGAAATAGTTACAAGTTACCAAGAGAATACAGGGAAGTCTGACCTGCCCCTCACCCGGCTCCCCCTCTGTCAAAGCCAGCAAGCTGACTGTGGTGCAGCAGGTGTGCGTGGTTTGTGGTTTTCTGATACATCGTTTTGTGTAACCACTGCCACAGTCAGATGCGGGCGGACCAGGGGTCACCACCACAGAGGCCTCCCTCCTGTCACCCCTTTACAGTCAGGCCCCCCTCTGGCCCAGTATCCCTTTCTTCTGGCACCTGATTTGTTCTTCATGATAATTTTGTCACTTTGAGAAGGTCATATAAATCGAACCTTCTAGTGGGTGACTTTGGGGTGGCTTTTTTCCACTCAGCATCAAGCCTGTGAGGACCATCGGGAGGGTTGCATATGCCAACAGTTTGTTCCTTGTCATTGCTGAGCAATGACATTGTTCCACAGTTTAGCCATCTACTGTCACACGTGTACTTTGAGGAAAGGTCTGAGTGTATCTGAGGGATGTGGACAGACTCGAGACGGGTCTCGGGCAGTTGATCTCCTCTCAGCAGTGGCAGTGCCTCATTGCCTGTGGTGCTTTCTGGCTTACATGACCTGGCATGGCTGTGGTCTCAACATGCTTGTTTGTCAGCTATTTCGTACACGAAGGATGAAGCTGGGATGTTCCACGCTGCTGATCTGGGCATCCCAGGGTCCGATGTTTCCCTGGGGTCTCTGGTGTTCTGGTCCCAGGAGGAAGGCCCCTTCCTCTGGAATGCTGTGAAGGCTTGGGTTTCATTTGCTCAGAAGCCCCTGACTGACTCTGGGCCTCCCTGAGGAGGGGCTTTCACTCCTTCACCCACTCCTGACTTTGGTACCTTGCACACCCAGGCCTGCTGTCCTCCATGGGTGGTATGTGGCTGAGCCTCTGTCCTGGCAGCCCTGAGAAGAGGGCTGAGGCTTCCCTGCCAGTGGATCTGAACAGCTCTCTGTTTGGCCCTAGATCAATGGCATCGCACTGGACAACAAGTCCCTGAATGAATGTGAATCTCTGTTGCGCAGTTGCCAGGACTCCTTGACCCTCTCCCTCCTGAAGGTAAGGACCCTGCAGCCAGCTCTGCTCTCACCACTGAGGCGGTGGCCAGAGCCTCAGCTCCAACTCCAGCCTACTGCTCAGCGTCGTGGGGATCCTTGAAAAAAAGGCACCAGTGTACAAAATGCAGAGTGTGCACAAGGCCTGGCTGGGTCCTGGCTGTATCCTGGTTGAAAAGCAACAACAACAAGAAACAGCTGCAAAGACCGTTTTGGGGACAGTGGGTACAGCTGAATCTGGACTGGATAATTGGATGACAATAGAAAATTATTACTTAGGTCTGATGACGACATTGGAGTTATATATGGGGAATGGGTTTATTTGAGGAGGTACAAGCTAAAGTTGTTAGTGAAACTTTTAAGCTACAGCTTAACTTTTCCAGTGATCTGCAATATCACTATAAACAGACATTCAAGACAGCTTGGTAGAATCTTATGGAGTCCAATTGGTGGGTATTCATTATACTTTTCTGTCAATTTTTCTACTTAGCTGAAAAGATAAATCAAAGAAAGTTAGAAAAAAATAGGCCCATCCATTTCATTAAGAGTAGTTTTCTAAACTACTCAGTTATTATCAAGTTAATAGACTCTTGGGGCAGCTGTTTGAGGTTGATGTAGTCTCATGTTTTCCCTGAACCAAGCCCCACCACCTCCCTACCCTCCACCCCAGGCTGTCCCTGTTATTGGCATCTGTGTTAGTTGGCACTCTTGTTCCCATTGAGGGGCCAGTGTTGATGCATTAGTGAACTTAAGTGCACAGTTTACCTGAGGATTCATTTTTTCCCCGACTTTGGTGTGGTATGGGAGATTGAGCCCTGGTCATTCATTGTACATGATAGACAGACGCTCTGCTGCTGAGCTCCCTCCCAGCCTGAGGGTTCACTCTGATGCTGTATATCCTGTGGCTTTTGACAAGCATATCCTTATGTATATGCACCATGACAGTGTCATGTAGGGTAGCTTCATGGCCCTGTAAATTCCTGTGCTCTGCCCGGTCATCTCTCCTTTCTCAGGCCTCTGACATCCACTGATCCTTGCGCTGCCTGCAGACTCTTGCCCTTCCCAGAAGGTCATGTGGTTGGAGTCATGCCGCAGTCAGCCTTTCCCCATGGCCTTCTCCACTTAGTAATGTGCATTAGGTTCCTTCATGTCTTTCCGTGGCTTGACAGCTCGTGTCCTTTTAGTGATGATCAATATACCATCACCTGCATTTTCCGTGAGAGATTTTTAGTGTTTAGACTGATCAAAGAAAGTGCTCAAAGTTGTGGGGATCCTATAAAGATCACAGAACTTTATAGTTCTGTGCATTTGAAGTGGCGGAGGCTGCGAGGAGGCTTCACCATCAGGGGCCATGTGCATGCATGTGCGTTTGCCTGCATGTGCCTATTGGTCCCTTTTGGGTGGGGGGTGGCCCAGCCTGCTCTGCTGTGGGGACGATTATCAGCGGCAACTCCAGGCCCTGCTGCCTCTTTTTTTCACCCCTCTGCAACCCTACTTAGGTGTTCCCTCAGAGCTCCTCGTGGAGCGGCCAGAGCATCTTTGAAAACATCAAGGACTCTGATAAGATGCTGAGTCTTCGGACCCATGGCCTGGAGGCCCAGGCTCATCACAAGCGGAACTTGATGCAGCACCACAGCTCCACGCAGACGGAACTCTTCTGTGCTGGGCTGGAAGACAGGAAGGAGCCGGGGCCTCCCGGAGGCAGCACCTCCTTTCTACACAAACCGTTCCCTGGGGGCCCCTTTTCAGTCTCCCCCCAGACCTGTCCCAGCACCTCCGAGCGCAGCCTGAGCTCCTTCCACTCCGATGCCTCTGGGGAACGTGGCTACGGGCTGGTGGACATGCGGAGCAGGCGGCCCCTGCTGCCCTTTGAGACCGAGGTGGGCCCCTGTGGGGTGGTGGAAGCCCCTCTGGACAAGGTGGATGCTGAGGGCTCCAACAGCGGTGGGACCTGGCCCAAGGCCGTGCTCGGCTCCACCGCAGGGCCGGAGAAGCTCTCCGTTTACAAGAAGCCAAAGCAAAGAAAGTCTATCTTTGACCCAAACACTTTTAAACGTCCCCAGACGCCCCCCAAAATAGACTATTTGCTCCCAGGCCCTGGGCCTATTCACTCTCCCCAGCCCTCCAAGAGGATGGGGCCTCTGACACCCCCAAAGCCTCCCAGGAGAAGCGACTCCATCAAGTTCCAGCACAGACTGGAAACCAGTTCTGAGTCAGAGGCCACACTGGTGGGCAGCTCTCCATCTACCAGCCCACCAAGTGCCCCGCCCCCCGACACTGACCTCGGAGAACCCATGCATGCATCACCCCCTCGCAAGGCCAGGGTCCGCATCGCCTCCAGCTACTACCCCGAAGGGGATGGGGACTCCTCCTACCTGCCAGCCAAGAAGTCCTGTGACGAGGACCTCACTTCCCAGAAGGCAGATGAGCTGGGGCAGAAGCGCCGCCGCCCAAAGTCTGCGCCTAGTTTTCGGCCCAAGCTTGCTCCGGTAGTGATTCCTGCTCAATTCCTGGAGGTAGAGCTCAGCCCTGGGTGGGGGGAGTTGGCCATGGGAATCCTGCAGAGTGGCCCTGCACTGGCGTCCCCACTTGTGCTAGACTGGCTTTTTCACTGTTAACTTGTGTGCACGTGGGGGAGTGGGCTGGGGTGGAGGGAAGCACAGAGGACATTTCCTTAGACATAGCGTTTGATATGCTTTTTCAGTAAGAAGCCTTTGAACTTGTACCACAAAGTCAAGTGACACAGACTTGCACTTGAAGGGTTTGAAGACATGAGTGGCATGTGAGACTATTTACAGGCAGCAGGGTGGTCTGACCATGTGTGCTGTAGTTGTTTCTAGAAGGGAGAGATTGCCGGGAGCCAAGACCCTCTGAGGCACCAGTGTATGCTGAGGCATGCAGTTGGGAGCCGGGTGCGTGCCCACCTGCTCACCTTCCACCCCCAGAGGCTGTTTCTTGGAAAGGGTAGAGTGTTCCTTTGCAGTTGTCTTCAGAAGGTCTTGTGAAGGAAGCTGTGTGAGGCAATGTGAGTGGGCGGTGACTTCTGCCCTACTGCTCACCTCCTCTGCTGGAGTAGAAGGAGCTTGTGCGTGAGGGATAGAAGTTGGCTTGCACATAGACCCACTATCTCCAGAAAATACTCCTTGTCTTTGATTCTACAGGAGCAGAAGTGCATCCCAGCTAGTGGAGATCTCTCCCCCGAGGTGCAGGAGTGGTCCCCTTACTCACCAGGGCATTCCAGCCGGCATGGGAACCCCCCGCTCTACCCCAACAGGCCATCCGTGGGTGAGTGGGCTGGACAGGGGCTGGGAAAAGGGTTGGCCCCTGCAGCTCTCCACCTGTGCCCCGAGATGCTGGTCCCCAGGGCTTGCCTCCCAGGTATGCAAAGGTACCCTACCCTTTCCTGTGCTCTAGTCGTCCAGTGCCTGTGTGGTCTTCAGGGAGAGGGGAGGCACATATTTCATGGCTGTCATGGGTCTTCAACCCCGAGGCCCAGAGAAACAGGAATTGCTGCCCTGTCCAGACTGGTTGATCATCCATGTCATATCTTAGTTTGTCGGAACTAACTTGCTTGTCCCCACGGCAGCCTGGGCAATGGTGCAAGAGGGATCTCCCTTTTTACAGGTGGGGAAAGTCCAATAGCCAAAGCCAGTTAGCAAATTGGTGGTTAAAACTCTTATTTCCCTATAATAGAGTTTTTTTCCCCAAAAGACTGTGGCCACCACCCTGGTGTACAGGAGAGGGTGTAGGCAAGTCCAGGGCTATCTGGGCAGGTGCTTTGGGGGCCATTGTTCTCATCCAGCCCATTTCTAGGAACTGTTCCCCGGAGCATGACCCCCAGCACTGCTGTGAGCTCCATCCTGCGGAACCCCATCTACACTGTGCGCAGCCACAGGGTTGGCCCCTGCAGCTCTCCACCTGTGCCCCGAGATGCTGGCCCCCAGGGCTTGCCTCCCAGGTATGCAAAGGTACCCTACCCTTTCCTGTGCTCTAGTCGTCCAGTGCCACAGGTGCAGAGAGGCTGTGGGCAGAGAAGCTTCCTTGGCTAGCTGGGAAGAGCCTGGGTGGAGCTCCTCTGTGAGTTCACCAGCGTGGATTCTCAACAGGTGATAGTGACAGAAGCTCATGTCCTGGTTGCCATGCTTAGACCTTCAGCCACACCCTCTTCCCTCGAGGCTTCTGAGCTAAATACTTTTATATTGTCTCTGCTGTAGGGATGAGAGCTTTTAAAAGTGAATGGGGCAAAACTGCATTCAGGGATCATTTCTGTATTTCATTATTAGAAAACTTCCTTGGATTGTGTAGAGCACTGATGAGTCTCATTTATTAAATGAGAAACCTAACATAACAAAAGATGAACTCTAGATAGAGCAGAGGGGTGGGAGGGAAAGGGAGGGGCATGGGGTTAGCAATGATGGTCGAATGTGATGGACATTATTATCCAAAGTACATGTACCAAGGCACGAATTGGTGTGAGTATACTTTGTACAACCGGAGATATTAAAAATGGTGCTCTGTATGTGTAATATGAATTGTAATACATTCCGCTGTCATATATAAATAAAAAATAATTAAATAAATAAAATAAAAACTTAAAAAAAAAGGAAGGAATAAAAACTAAAATAAATAATTAAATAAATTAGCAAACCCAAGTTGTCAAAAAGTGGGTAGGCTGACTCAAGATCACTCCTACAAATTTTTATTGAGCACCTTTTATGTTCCAAGAACTAGACTAGTACTGAGGGGAGACCGTGGTGGACCACAGAGATGAGCTTCCTACTCATGGGGTGCTTTTGTTCAAGTGTGGGAGGCAAATAAACATGTACAGGGTACTTTGAAGTGGTGCCGAGTGGCTCTGAAGACAGTAAGACAGGGTGACAGGCTGGGCTATGACTGAGAAGACAGTGGCCACTAAGCTGCACAAACTGGGGTGGGGCATCCAGACAGATGTGTCATTGATGCTGAGGCTGAAATCCTGGGAGCTTGGCAGGCAGGCAGTGAGTCAGGAGGAGACCCCAGGTTGGCCAGCACCAATCTATAGGACCTACAGCCATAATAAAGAGTTGGATTTTCTTTTCCCTAGCCCCCCAACCTTCCGCCCCCTTCAGTCCCAGGGATTGAGCCCAGGGCCTTGTGCAGGCTAGAAATGCTCTACCACTGAGCTACACCCCCAGGTCTTTGTTTTTTATTTTGAGACATGGTCTCACTGAGCTGCCCAGGCTGCCCTCAAACTTGTGATCCTCCCACCTCAGAGTCCCAAGTAACTGGGATCCCAGACAGCCATCGCAGCCTGGCTTAGAATTGGGGTTTTACTCTGAGTATGGCGGAGACCACAGGAGGGCTTTAAGCAGGAAGGTGGCATCTCTGTACATTGTGGGAACCTGACCGCAGGGAGCCTGACGTTTGTGAGCCACCAGCCCTCTGCTTTCCTAGTTACACTGTCCAGAGTGACTCATGCAGTACCTCTCCAAGGTCCTGGGGCCCATGCGGCCTCTCCCTGTCCTCCTCCTGGGCCCACCTGGGTTGCAGAGCCTGTTTTCCTTGTAGCAGACCCTTCCTCCCAGTGAGCCCAATCTGTCCCTGCTGTTGACCTGGATATGATTCTGGTTTGCCCTGTGTTTGTGGCCCTCTTAGATGCCACCTCTGAGAAGTGGTGGGGCAGGCTGCTGTCCTGGGCCTGTGGTGAGGGAGACCTAGGCCGTCACAGTTTATCCCTGGTGGCCACCTCTGGTCCTGGTCCTCACAAACCCTCCCCTCTGGTTCTCTCCCAGTGTCCAGCACCAGGGCCGCCTGAGCCTGGACCTCAGCCACAGGGCCAGCAGTGACTATGCTGAGATGAGAGCCTCCCACGGGTCCAACTCGCTGCCCTCCAGCGCCCGCCTCGGTAATTACTGCTTGGACCCTGGGCTGCAGCGGGCACCTGCATCCTAATGCCCAGATCTCGTGGTGGGCTGCCCACATGAGCTCCCCTCTCTCCTGGGGCCAAGCACAGCTCCTTCCTTGGAGGGCCGATGACTTTCATACCCACGCTGCACCCGGAGCTATGCTCTTTGCCCTCAGCCTGTGGCCCCTCGGATCCTTGCTTCCTCTCCCTGAACTTGTTGGCTATCCTGGGGTGTTTGTATGGCTGCTCGCTCAGGGTCACCTAGAGGAGAGGCTTATATGGCCTTGTAAGGAGACCCTGGGGAAATCCTGGTTGTTGGGGAGAGGAGACCGAGCAGCTGCCTGTATCTCGTGGGTCACCATGAGTGGTGCTCCTGTTCTGGAGACAGACTCCAGGCCTGCCCACTTCTGCCAATACTAGAGTCCAAGTGTCTGTTTCTTGCAACTGCTCCACATTCAGGCTCCCTCAGAGCTGCATGGCAGGCCCAGCTTTGCATGCTACTATCCTGACTGCCAAGCCATGGGAGGGGTCGGGGGTGGTGTTTAATCACAAGGCCTGATATCCAATCTTCTTTTGGAACAGGGTCTTCCAGTAACTTGCAGTTCAAGGCAGAACGCATTAAGATCCCATTAACGCCGAGGTACCCTCGGTCTGTCATGGGCTCTGACAGAGGTAGGCACTTGTGGGCATGCCCCTCCCGCTGCTCATTCCACTGCCTCCTTTTGTCCCCGCCTGGGTTCCCCGGGTGCAGACTGTAGTTTGTTTGCAAGTCCTTTCAGTCAGTGGGTAAAGGTGTCCTGAGCCCAGGCGGGGCCTGATGCTGGGGGGTGGCAGGTAGCTGTAGCCCAGCGTCCAGACCCTGCTGTTGATGTGGGGCCCCTTGTCCTCGCACCTCTCCTCTCTTGACAGGTTCGTTGTCACATTCCGAATGCAGCACCCCTCCACAGTCGCCCCTCAACATTGACACCCTGTCCACTTGTAGCCAGTCCCAGACCTCCGCCTCCACATTGCCCAGGATTGCTGTCAACCCTGCGTCCCTCGGGGAGCGGAGGAAGGACAGGTGAGTGTGCATGGGCATCCGTGGCCTGAGCCAACCACTGGATGGCGCATCTGGACCACTAGCCAGGGCTTGGGTGTGGTACGGGGCTTGCTCCTGGAAGCTGCAGGGGGGCGGGGTGTTGGAGAATAGTGCTTTGATTTGAAATGGGACTCAGCCAATCTACTTTAGGTCACCTAGCACCCGTGCACCTTGTTCCAGCAAGTCACTAGTATTTTCTGTGGGGCACTTATGTAGGAACTGTGGCCAGCCTGGCCCCAGCGGGAGGGGGTGCATGTGTCACATGCAACCAAGTAACCCGTCAGCACCCTGTCGTGCACAAGAGCCAGGGACTGCTCCCCCTGAGGGAAAAAATTGTGTTATTAAAGATAAGATTGAACACATGTGTCCTGGCTGAGCAGCAGCTTATTAATTAAACATCATCCCTTTTTCCTGATTTTGAAGTTCACTGTCATAGACTTATTATAGAAACTTGGGAGTTAATTAGAAAAGTAGAAAGAAGAAAAAAGTTACATGTAGTCTCAGAAATTCACTTGTTACACACACACACACACACACACACACACACACATTTTTAATATATGTTTTATTATTTGTCATTTTATATACATAATCATGTCTCCTCTAGTTGTTATTATTTTTTTACTCTCCTTTGGTGGCACAAGGGATCGAACCCAGGGCCTTGCTCATGCTAGGTGAGTACTTTGCCACTGAGCTACATCCCCAACCCTGACCTTATATTTTAAGTGATTTAGAGCATTATAAATATAATTTATTGGGCTGGGGATGTGGCTCAAGCGGTAGTGCGCTCACCTGGCATGCGTGCGGCCCAGGTTTGATCCTCAGCACCACATACAAAAACAAAGATGTTGTGTCTGCCGAAAACTAAAAAATAAATATTAAAATCTCTCGTGCTCGCTCTCTCTCTCTCTTAAATAAAAAAAAAAAAAGAATTGCTGATTTGCATATCAAGAGTTAAACATTAAAAAAAAGAAAGATAAGTATAATTCATTAACATGTTTTACAAAGCAACATTGTTGTTCCAAGAAAGCTCGTGTGTAGAGTATAAGATTTCAATCATTCAGAAGATTAAGAAATAAAGATCACCTCAGATTACCACATTCACTCCTGGGCAAGGCCCTCCGCAGAAATCTGCATAGGTACAGACGTAAACATGCATGTGGGCTCCGTGTGGCATTGCCCCATCTGCTTTTGCACTCCACAGTGGTCCCTACTTCTTTGGGTGTCAGTCACCCCTGATTCGGAGGATCATTTATAGTGGCTTTTATATGAGCAGGTTACCTGCTCCTTTGTGGGGAAACATGTTTGGGTGGAGGTGGAGCAGAGGACTGGGCAGTCACGGTGAAGAACCAGCAGCTGTAGACAGAAGCCAGCTGTGCAGTGCCTGTAGGCTGGCACAAGAAGGCAGCCTCGGCCCACCCTGGTTCCTGCCCCACTGTGTGGGTGGCGTTAGGGCGGCTGCCGGCTACAGGTTCTCACCGCTCTAAACCACTTCCATTCTTACCCACTTTATAATTCTTCCCTTGACCTGCCAACTGCACCTGACCTGGCATTCTAGTACTAGTTGAGTTGTACAAGTGACTGGTGCAGGCCAGGTCAGGTGCAGTTGGCAGGTCAAGGGAAGAATTATAAAGTGGGTAAGTTTGGAAGGTGGGGGTGAGCGAAGAATTGTAAGCATTTTAATTTCTTTGTCTTTTTTTTTAAGGTGCTGGGGATTGAACCCAGGGCCTTGTGCATGCAAGGCAAGCACTCTACCCACTGAGCTATAGCCCCAGCCCAGCATTTTAATTTCTGCTATTCTAAGACGGCCTGGCCCTGAGCAGCAGGACCCGGGCTGAGGCCTGCTGAGGTGGTGGGCTGCCGGAGCTCTGTGGCAGGGGTGCTGGTTCAAGTGCCCCCCTCCCAACTCATTTGTCGCCACACAGATCTGTCCATGGGCTTTAGAGGGGACCCAAGGGTGGGCATCAGACCACCCTTCTCTTGGTTTTTGGCCTCACTTTCTTTCTTTTTTGTGTCCCAGAGGAAGAAGGCCCAGGGCTGGTGAAGCGTGGGCCGTGGGGTGGGGGGTGGGGGGCTTTGTGTCGCTCGCTCTGTCTTCTGTAGTCGTAGGCTTCTGAGTCGTCCTCCTTCTGAGTGTCCCTTCTCTCCTGTCCAACTTTGGTGCCATCCAGATGTCTCTTCCGCCACAGATCTCTTCTGAGGCTGCCTGTGGCCGCCAGGCCCAGGTCCTCCTCGCTGAGGAGTCTGAGGTTGGCCCAGCACGAGGCTCCCCTGAGCCCCTGCCTCCTGGTGCCCTTGGGCAGCAGGTGCATGGTCCCCGCCTTGCTCTCTGCCTCCCTCTCCCTCCTTCTCCATGGCTTGGGTTTGCAGCAGCTTAATTTCCATGATCAGTTTGCGTCACCCCCATGTAACCAGTACATACAAAGACTGACGTTTTATGTCATCTCCTCCTGGCTTGAACGTCGTCCCAGGAGCCATCTCTTTTCCTGGAGGGGGGTGGTCATGAGGACTCCTCCCTCAAGGGTTGGAAATTGCATGCTGTGAGGCAGCTACTCTCATAAAATGAAGAGATGTGAGTTTTCTCCCACGTGCATTTTGGTGTTCCTAGTTCCCATGGACCATTCTCTGTGTCTTTGGGGCTGGGTGTTTCCTTGTCCATTTGGGTGTGCTGTGTTTGTATCGCATGAAGTTTTGGGAATGTGTATCCTTTGTCATATCGAAACTGGTTCATCATGTCCCCATCCAGCCATGTCATTGCAGCAGCACCCAGCTCCAGGGCCCTCTCTGTCCACCTGAGCGCATGCCTGATCTGCCTCCCGCAGCCTGTCCTTTGTGTTTGAGTCCTCGACACCTTTGGCTCTTTTCCCAGGCCTTATGTGGAGGAACCACGCCATGTGAAGGTACAGAAGGGCTCAGAGCCTTTGGGCATCTCCATTGTGAGTGGAGAGAAGGGCGGCATCTACGTCTCCAAAGTGACCACCGGCAGCATTGCCCACCAGGCTGGCCTTGAGTATGGGGACCAGTTACTTGAGGTAGGAGGGAATGGCCCTTCTTCTCTTCTCCCCCACCCCTGATAAAGCAGTGCTTGAAGTCCATGTCCACAGCTCCCGCCCCATCCCTGAGCCCACCCTGGGTGTCTCTCCAGTTCAATGGCATTAACCTGCGGAGTGCCACAGAGCAGCAGGCCCGGCTCATCATAGGGCAGCAGTGTGACACCATCACCATCCTGGCCCAGTACAACCCACATATGCACCAGCTTGGCAGCCACTCCCGTTCCAGGTGAGTGCTGGGGGCCAAGAGGTGGGTGCGATGGTGTGCTGCTCACCATGGGGAGGCCTGGGGTGTCCACAGCGAATGCTGGGGGTTCTGTTGCTAGTCAGGGGAGTTGACTAGCCTTGGGCTTTGGGAAAAAGGCACACATTGAGAGTATCCCTCCTCCTGAAATGGGGTGTGGGAATAGGTGGCGGGAGGCCCATTGCCTGGTAGGGCCCTATGATAACTAGTAACCGAGGCTCTGGAGCAGGCTTCACACACAGTGCTTGGCTCTGTCCATGAGCGGGTGTCAGATGTCTGCTCCATGTGCCCCTGTGCTGTGGGTCACAGGGAAGAAGATAGGAGGGGCAGTGTGTCCTGCAGGGTCCTACTCCATAGCTCAGAGAGACAGGATGCAGAAGCCAGGAAAAGGGACAGTGACCTCATGTGTCCCCTAAGCTGGATGCCTTTGGAGAGGATTCCTGAGCTGAGGACAGGAGGTCCTGTGGAGCAGGTGACACAGTCCAAGGCCTGATGAATCTGCCCTTCCAGGGCTCAGCGCTGTGTGACCTGTTCCCTATTTGCAGTGCAAACCCAGTCATCCCTGGTAGGGGCATGGCCCTGGGTGGTGTATGCCACATGTTCTGTGCTTTTCCTTACTCCTCTTGTCTTCCCTCCCTAGCTCCCACCTGGACCCTGCCGGTGCCCATGCCACTCTCCAGGGCAGTGGTAGCACCACCCCAGAGCACCCCTCTGTCATTGATCCGCTCATGGAGCAGGACGAGGGTCCTGGCACACCCCCAGCCAAGCAGAGCACCAGCTGCTCCAGGTCAGCACATGCATGCTGTGGGCTTGTCCTCTGTCCACCTAGCCCGAGTGGGATGGAACACATCCCTTAGGGGTGTGGGTGCCAGGCAGCTGATCTCAGACTGTGCTGCCGGCCACATATCCAGGTGTCCAGGGTGAAAGGGGGAGACACTTTTCCTTTTTCCTTCTTCTCTTCTTTCTTTCTTTCCCTCTTTCTCTTGTTTTCTCACTGTATCATTTGTTGCCCTCCCTCTTCTCTCTCTCTCTCTCTCTCTCTCTCTCTCTAAATGCCTCTATTTTAATTATTTATTTATTTTTATTGGTGCTGAGGATGGAACCCAGTGCCTCACACGTGTTGGGCAAGTGCTCTGCCACTGAGTGACAGCCCCAGCCCCTCTCATTCACTCATTTTCTGATTCTTTCTCGAGACACAATCTGATAGTCATCACCCAGCCAGGCCCTAGGTTTCTGGCCATCAGCAGCGGCATTGTTCCCAAGGAAGTGACAGGCCAGGGCCCAGATACGTGCAGCCACACCAGCCATGTGGCAAGGAGAAGTGACTGCCAGGTGCAGATAGATGTTCAGGGTGAGCAGGAGGAGGGAGCAGCCTCGGGAGGAGGCAGGAGCCCTCATGAGAGCTGCTTGCCCCTCAGCCTGGTCTGGGCCTGGAGGAGCCTAGAGAGGGCCCCCTTTTCCAGCAAAGCCTCGGCATCACACAGAATGAGGCCAGCTCTGTATTCTTCACTGTGTCCCCTTGGAACTCACCTGCAGCAAAATTTTAATCATAGGCTGGTTTCCCTCCTGGGATCCCCTTCATCAGTCCCCACTACTGCTCCCGCTCCCTCCACTCGGTTTCTCTGCTAGCCTATTTCCAGCTGCCCTCACTGGTTCTAAATTCTCCTTGACAAGGTCTCTTTGCCAGTCGGTGCAGGTCCTGGTCTGCAGAAGCTGCTTGGGAGACATTGCTAAGTGAGCCGCTGTGCTCTGGTCCATCTTTAGGCAGGACTGAGGCAGGAGAGCCAGGGCAGGTGGGCGATGCCTCCCAAGGCGTGAAAGCGATGGCTGGATCTGGAAGCAGAGGCCTCGGCTTTACCTCTGTCCCCAACTGTCTTTGTGACCTAAGCCATGTTTTTACCCTCACTGCCCCTCAGCCTCCTGCCACGTGCCCTGCATCAGTAGAACTAGAGCCTGTGGCAAGGGCCTCTGGGGAACCTGGGCTCTGAGACCCGGAGAGCAAGCAGAAAGAGCTGGGGCTCTAGCCACTTATGTTCCTGTCCTCCTCCCGCCTTGTGCGTGATGGAGAAACTCCCTTTTCCTTCCTAAAAGGATCATGGGAGATGCCAACAAGAAGACCCCGGAACCACGCATTGTCTTCATCAAGAAGTCTCAACTGGACCTTGGGGTGCATTTGTGTGGTGGGAACCTGCACGGGGTGTTTGTGGCCGAAGTAGAGGATGACAGTCCTGCCAGGGGTCCCGATGGCCTGGTGCCAGGGGACCTGATCCTCGAGGTGAGTACTCTTGAGTGGGCTAGGCCACTGTCCCTGTGGCAGGGTTGGTGCCATCTCAGGTGGCACAGAGGACAGAGGAGCACACCCCTCACCTGGTGACCCGACAGGGCTGATTGTTCATCTTTGCAAACCTGAGATGCTGCCACACCCCTCTGGGGTGTCACTGCCGTGAGGCAGGCCACCAAAAGAAGGAGAGGGCTTGGTCCTGGCTCTGGCATTGAAAGGAAATGCGTCTCTTGCCAGCAACAAGTCTCTGATTGGGGAGGTTGCCATCTTCTCAATGGCACTCCTGTCTCCCCGGGGGATGGCTCACAGACGGTGAAGGTAGTTTCATAAGCCAGAGGCAGGGCCATGTTGGGAAAAGCCTTCCTTGAGGGTTTTTCTTGGGAGAAGCTGTAGAGGGCAGAGCAGGGGGACCAGGAAGTGTGTGCAGATCTCAGGCTCTGGGAGGACCGTAAGGACCCGGCCCTCCCTGCCCAGGGGAGGTGGGCAGTCTCACATCAGGGATTGAATCTCCACATTGGTGGGTACCAGGACTGCATACTGGCCATTGCCCTTCTGACCCCGGCTTCTGTGTCCCTGGACAGTATGGCAACCTGGATGTGCGCAATAAGACGGTGGAGGAAGTCTACGTGGAGATGCTGAAGCCCAAAGACAGTGTCCGCCTGAAGGTGCAGTACCGCCCAGAGGAGTTCACCAGGATCAAGGGCCTGCCTGGTGACAGCTTCTACATCAGGTACCAGCAGCTGGGGATTCAGGGACAGGCAAGGGCTCTCAGTGGAGGCTGCTCCTGGTGAATGATTGCTCTCTGCTCTGTGCCCAAGGCTGGGGCTGTGATTGGCATACTTGTGCCTAGGTAGGATTCTTTTGTTTTAGAAAAATGCTTGAGAACCTAAGGAAACATTTGAGCTCCCTTTTTTAGGGTTAGGGGGCCTAGGGAATTTGGAGGCTGTAGAGCCCCCTTTTCCTTGTATCTGCCCCTGACCGAGATGTGCAGAGTGTGTGGGCTTCAGGTGTCTATGGTGCCCTTAAGTACCAGGTGGAACATGGCACGTGGGGAGGGCGTCGAATGTTTTCTGTGAGTGGTCAGAGCTTTCTTTGCATTTCCTACGATCTGAGACCACAGGAAGGATGAGAAGCTGATGAGTTCTGCTTCTTGTCCTGAGGGCGGGAGAGGGTGTGTCTCCAGAGGTTTCTGTCTGGGGGAACCAGGGGCCTTGACTCCTGGGAAGGAGGCGGATGGGAAAGGCCCGTTTGGAAGAGGAAGATCCAGCCTGTTCCTGGGCTAGAAGCTCCCTCAGTGATAGGGAGGATAGCCAAGGTGTCCTGCCTGGGAGCCAGCCCAGAATGGGATCCTGCTCCTGACAGAGTTGGGGGCAAAGCAGAGCAACGGCCTTCAGAGTCTGGTGCACCCCTGGCCCCTGGCCACATCCTGATGGAACTCCCTCCTCCCTTGGTCCAGGGCCCTGTATGACCGGCTGGCCGAGGTGGAGCATGAGCTGAGCTTTAGGAAGGACGACATTCTCTACGTGGACGACACCTTGCCCCAGGGCACATTCGGGTCCTGGATGGCGTGGCAGCTGGATGAGAACGCTCAGAAGATCCAGCGTGGGCAGATTCCCAGCAAATACGTGTGAGTGTCTCTCCCTGGGTGGGGCCGTAGGGTCCACATCCACAGAGCTGTCCCACAGGGTCAGGCTGGGCTTGAGCTCCTGGAGGACTGGTTCTGTTGCTCATGTCAGCTTCTGGGCTATCTCTGTTGCCAATGTCGCATGTTCAAAAAGCAGGTGGTGTCATAAGTCAGAGTGCAGAAGCTGAGTGGCCAGTCAGAGGTCTCACTATGTTTGGTGTGTGTGGTGCTGGGGATTGAACCCAGGGCCTTGTGTATGCAAGGTGAGCACTCTACCAACTGAGCCATGTCCCCAGCCCCCCGCATCACTATTTTTAAAACAGATTTATGGAGCTATAATTCACATATCCCACAACTCCCCAAGTACACAATTCAGTGGTCTTCAGTGTGTTCACCAATATTCACAGTTAACTGGAGAATATTTTCATCATCTCAGAAAGAAGCTCCATACCCATTTGTCTTATTATGTTTGTTTCCTGTTGCTGTAACTAACTGAGGCTGGATAATTTATAAAGAAAAGAGGTTTTTAGCTTTCAGTTCTGGAAGCTGAAAGTGTAAGATTAGGGTGCCCCATTGGTTCTGTCTCCGGAGAGTTTCCGCTGGGCTGTATTACAGTGTGGTAGGGAAACACAAGGGACCAGCCTTGTATACAAGGAGAGGTCACATGGCAAGATAGGAAGGAGGGGGTGAGGGGCTAGGCTTGGCCTTTTGACAATAACCCATTCTTACAGGAAGTAACTGAGGTCCCATGAGAACTATCTTAATCCCTCCAAGGGTAGAGCCCCAAGTGATCTAACCACCTTCCACTAACCCGCACCTCTTTTTTGGGGTGGGATGGAGGAGGTTAGTACTACGGATAGAACCCTTTAATCTTTTTTTTTTTTTGCTGGCGTGGATGCATTTTTATTTATTTTCTCTACATTTTTTTGTTGTCGCATTACAGCTGCACATAGGGATGGATAGTCCTTCATACTGGCACCTGCACACAGTGTAACAATGTAATTTGGCCAGTTATCACTCCCCAGCCCTTCCCCCTCCCTCCCTGCCTTTCCGACCTCCCTTTGCTTTTCAAGAGATCTGCCCCTACCTCTCTTTTCCTTTTTCCTCTCTAGCGTCCTCATATGAGAGAAAACATGACCCTTGACCTGAGTTTGGCTTATTTCACGTAACACAATGGTCTCCAGTTCTACCCATTTTCTGAAAAAGGGACATAATTTTATTTTTCTGTATAGTTGAATAAAACTCTCGTGTCAGTACATTTTCTTTATCCATTCCTTTGTATGTCAGTGGACACCCAGACTAGCCCCTTTTATTTTTGTGACAGGGTCTTGCTAAGTTACTGAGTATGGCCTTGAACTTGGTGATCCTCCTGCCCTAGCTTCCTGGTCACTGGGTTACAGGGGTGTGGCCCCACGCCCCCACCTCTTAAAAGTTCCTCCACCTCCACATGGTCACACTGGGAACACGGTCCTTTGGGGGACACGGCCCTTTGGGGGACACACTCAAACCACGGCACACCGCATCCCTTTGTCCTCCCCTCTTCTTCTGGCCCTCAGCCCTAAGCAGCCACTAATCGACAGTTGGACAAGTTTCCCTTTCGGGGACTTGGAGGGGCTGGGACCACATGGTGTGTGACCTTTTGTGTCTGGCTTGCACCCTTCACACTGCAGCCTGCAGCCTGTGGCCCTGTGCCGGTCAATTCCCAGGCAGGAAGCCTAACTTGTAGGGACAGCAGGTGAAGCCTGCCCCAGCCGCTCCTCTGACACGGAGGTGAGCGCACCCTGGTGGCCATCTCTCTGTTCTGAGAGCCCGTCCCGGCACCACAGTGGTACCCAAGGTGCCTGGTGGTGTGGGGAGGCCTGGCTTCCCTTGCTGGGAGGTGGGCCAGGGTCTGTCTCCGTGGCCCTCCCCAGCATTGCCACTCCCTGTGACTGCAGGATGGACCAAGAATTCTCCAGGAGGCTCAGCATGTCCGAGGTCAAAGACGACAGTAACGCCGCCAAGACGCTGTCAGCAGCCGCTCGCCGGTCCTTCTTTCGAAGGAAGCACAAGCACAAACGCAGTGGGTCCAAAGACGGGAAAGACCTCCTGGCCTTGGACACCTTCTCCAACGACTCTCTCCCGCTCTTTGAAGGCAAGTCACCTAGTGCAGTTTGCTGAAGCTTCACAATGGGACTTTAGACACAATAGAAGTCCCCTTGGCTTTTAAATTTTTTCGACTTTACTTACTACTTATAAGCAGTGTGTGTGTGTGTGTGCTCTATTACTGAGCCGTGTCTCCAGCCCTTTTTATTTTATTTTGAGACAAGAATCTGGCTTAGTTGCCGAAGCTGGCCTCGAACTTGCAATCCTCTTGCCTCAGCCTCCCGAGTAGCAGGGATTATGGTTTTGCACCACTGTGCCTTGTGCCTTTATTATTTAATCAGGGTGTTGAATCTGTGATGAAAATGTAGTTTGTCCAACACATTTTATATTTCCTTGTCTTTCCCTTCTTGCTTTTTTTTTTTTGATCACTTATTTTTATTATTCTGTTCCTACCACATCTCTTGTTCTTAGTTACTGGTTTTTATCTTGTGGGGGCTTCCATAGCCCTCATAGCATGCTTCTTTGACTTGCTGCTAACATAAGGCATTGCTGTGACCACTGCCCTAGTGACACTGGGCCCTCTAACTCCATTTACCACCTTCCCAACTTTTGCATTGTTACCATTTTAATTCCGTGTGTTTCAAACCCAAGCCAGCATTATGGGTTTGCAGAACAGCCACCTGTTGTGCCCTTTCCCCACCCTTGTTCCTTCCTGCACTTCTGAGCTTCCTTCTGGTTCTGTTTTCTTTCTGAACAATTCCCTTGAGCATGCCTTGTAGTGCAGGTTTGTGGGTGATGCATTCTCTCCCACCATATAAGGCACCCTAGGTGGAAGATGGTGTTGTCTCAAAATGTCTATGTTACATTGTTTTCATAAATACTCTTTGGATACGGAAATTTATGACTGGTGTTCACAGTTGTCCCTGTGGGCAGTTGGTTCTATGCCCCTCTGCAGATAAAATATTCAGAGACCCCCAAGTCCTTTTATATAAAGTGACACAGTATTTGCATATAACCTGCCCACATGCTCCTGTCCACTAAAAGTCATCTCTGGTATTTATAGTATGTAGTCAGTGTAAATGTGATGTCAGTTGCTGTTAGATTATATTGCTCTGGGAATAATGAACCAAAGTCTGTATGTGTTCAGCATAGATGTGATTTTTCCCCAGAATCTTTTCAGTCTGCAGTGTAATCCATGCACACAGAACCTAGGGATACAAGGACTGACGATTGAAGCACTTTAAAGTTGTCCTTCACCGTCTGTGGCTCTTACTGCATATTCGGTTCCTATGGCTGCCATACAAATTGCCACAAATCATGTGATTTCAAACAACACGCATTTGTTCTCTCATTGATTCTGGAGGCCAGAAATCCAAAATCAGCATCCTGGACTGAAATCCAGCCGTCAGGAGGGCCGCTGACATCCCTCCAAGGATGGAGCAGAGCCTCAGTTCTGACCTCTTCCAGCTCCTGGTGGCCGCCAGCATTTTTCTGCTTGAGGCCACATCACCACCATCTTCAAACCTCTCTGTCATCTGTTTTCACATTACTTTCTCCTCCATGCATGTCTGTCCCCAAACTCCCTCTACCTCTCAGGACACACCTGATGGCTTGCTTGTAGGGCCCACCCTGCTGATCCAGGAAAAGCCCTTTCTCTTTGAGAGCCTTACCTCCTGTTATAGAAGGCAGCAGTCACATGTTCTGGGGGCTAGGAAGCCGATCCTGGGGGCACTTTGGGGGCTGCCACCTGGTGTTCCTGGGGAGGGTGGGCTTTCTCTTGGTTTTGTGCAGAAGGTAACGCGCTCCCCCTGCTCCTGGCTGTTCTAGCATCTTCGGTTTCTCAGCAGTCACACTGTGGTGTCTGCCCGTGGGGAGTTTCCTTGGTGGTGTATCCTGCTCACGTGCTTCTTAACACTTTGTAGATCTGTAGCTTGACGTTGTGGATAAGTCCTGCCGTTGTTTCTTTGAGACTGTTTCTGGGCTCCTCTCGCCTTTCTTGCACCTTAGTTCTTGGATGGGCCTTGGAATGCCTCTGTCCCCTGCACTCTGTGCCCCTCTACTTTCCATCTGTTTTTCTCTCTGTGCTTTAGCCACCCTGGATATTTTTCTGGGGCCTTTTCCCTAGGTATTATCCCCTTTTTCTCACATATCCAGTGTGTTCTTAGTTTCAGAAACTGTCAGTGTGTCTGTTGTGTTTTTGCTTGGAATCCTGGACATTGTTGATTGAAATGTCAGAATTTCTAAGAATGTCCGAGCCCTGAATGATGTTCCTGTCTTCTGGAGAGGACTGGACCCCTGCTCCAGAGCCGGCACTGATGGCAGCTCACCTGGTCCAGGCAGGGGCTAAGATGGCTTCAGACTGGCAGCAGCTCTTGTGCAATTTGCTTCACCCTGGTTTGGGGGTCTGGGTCATCTGAGCACCTGAGCCGTTGCACAGGGCCCCTCCTCCTTTGGGCACCAGCCTTTCCCTTCAGTACCACAGGACTGCAGGGACTCGGCGATTCATGACTTCTCAGACCTGTTGCCTCTTGCTCCTCGCAGCTTAAAGATCTGGCAGATGGTTTTCATGGAAAACTGCTGATATCAGACGCAGTTCTGTGCCTCTTCCCTTCCCTCTGGAACTGTGGTTTCTCAGTTCTGGTTGCCTGAGCTGTCCTAAGCTCCATATTGGTCTCACCAGTCTTACAGAGTTCCAAAAACTGCCTGAGTCCCTAGCCTCTTGGTAGCAGCCCTCTACCTGGGTTGGAAGCAGGTTCATATGTGGGTTCTTCAAAAGGAATAGAGGTCAGCATGAATTAGCACCAGCACGCTGTAGAAACTACCCAGGGAGAGGAGGAATTGCAAAGCATTTACAATGTCATCTTTTTTGCTGAACACACGTGCAAACACACACATACACACACACACATTTTCTAGATTTTTCCCAAACATATAGCAGTCCCCTTACAAGAATAACACACGGAAGGGTAAACTTCCGCTTACATTAGTGGTGGCCTCTGAGGAGGGGGCTGGGGATGGGCAACAGGAGGGTGCTGGCTTCATCTGTGAAGGTTTAATCTTTAAAAGAGAAAGTTGCACGGGGGTTCCAGGGCAGTGAATGTGGCCACCAAGTCCTCCCCATGCTTTTCAAACAGCAGATCGGCTGGCCGGCAACAGCTTCCCAGGAAGCCGGGTGCACGTGGATGATCGTCCATTTTAGAACACCCTGTGCTGGGGTGCAGTGAGGGCAGGGAGCCTTGTCCCTTCTTCCTGAGTGCTTCCCACAGGGTTGCTGCTCCTGTCACAGCACCAGGTCCCTGCTCCTGTTTCCTCGTCACAGCCTGTTCTGCAGAGCTACTCAGGTTCTTCCTACCCAGCCATCCCCTCCTCGTCCCCCACCTCTCCTCCACCCTCTCCTTGGCTCAGCTCAGCATGCTGTCCTCGAGGGCCTGCCCTGTGTTCTCCAATCCTCCCATCCGGCCTCAGTGCTGCCGCACCACACTGCTTCCTGGGCCCTCTGCTGTCTTGCCTGGAATCAGGCAGCTCTGGCCCTGGTATCTGGTGCTGCCATCTCATGGCCCTGGTCAGAGTCTGAGCTATTGAATGGCAGGGATTTGTACCTTCCGCGTCTTGAGATGCCAGCACATGACTCCAGGTAGATGCCAAGGAGCACTGTGCTCGCTGGTTCTGGACAGTCTTTTCCTACAAGGATTTTCTTGTGCTTGTGGGGGAGGGGAAGCTCACTTCATGTATCAGCTGGGATACTGGTTGGACTGCTTTGAGCCCAAATAGCAGTGGTTTAGCCGGACGGCGCTGCATTTTCTCTGTTCTTTTCTCTGCCATGTGCAGGTTCAGCTGAAGGGTGGTCTGTCTTGAGAACCATCTTAGGACCCAGGTCCCTTCAGCTACATGGCTCTGTCATTTTTGTTGTCCCCCCCCCCCGTTTTTAATTGGAGCATTATAGTTGTACTTATGATGGGATTTGTTGCTACATATTCGTACATGCACACGACCGACAGTATCACTCCCTAGCACTTCCCTCCTTCCTCCCTGCCTCCCATTCCTGGTTCCTTTCCTCTACTCATCTCCCTTTGATTTTCATGAGATACCTGCCCCCACCTTTTTTCTCCCTTTTTTCCTATCTTCTGCAAATGAGAGAGAACCTATAACCGTTGACCTCAGTTTGACTAATTTCATTTAACACCATTGTTTAGTTCCATCCATTTTCCTGCAAATGACATCTTTATGGCTGAACACAGTTCCACTGTGTATATACATTTTATCTATTCATCTGTTGATGGACACCCAGGCTGGCTCCATAGTTTGGCTATTGTGAATTGTGCCGCTGTAAACATGGGTGTGTATCACTGTAGTATGACGACTTTTAATTCTTTAGGCTAAATACCAACGAGTGGTTATAGCTGGGTCATGTGTGGTTCCATGCCTAGTCCGTTGAGGCTTCTCCATACTGATTTCCAAAGTGGTTGTATTAATTTACAGTCCCACCAACAGTGTAAAAAAATTCCTTTTTCTCCACATTCTCTCCAGCATTTATTATTTGTATTCTTGATGACTGCCATTCTGACTGGTGTGAGATGAGGCTTGTCATTTTAAGGATTGTCCCCATCTGCATGGTCAGAGCTGGTTCACAGCATCCTCCCATTCTGCCCCATGGGCCGGGGCCTAGGGGGCCTCTCTGTCACCCACTGGCACATCTGGGTCAGAGTCACAGCTGCTGTGTCAGGGAGCACAGGAGATCTGGCAGGTGCAGCAGGCCTGGGGCACATGAGGAAGCGCTGCGATGGTCCCACAGCCCGGGAGGGAGGGTGTGTTTGGGCTTCAAGAGGGACTGTGCCCTCGTGTGCCCCGGCTGTGGAACTGCTGGCACTAAAGCTGGGGAAGTCCCAGGAAAACCAGACAGGTGTGCCACCTTCCCTGGCTCTGCCTGTGTGAAGGGGGTGGGCCTACCTGGGGTGATGAGGTCCGTGGGCAGGGTGCCCAGTCCTACCCCTGCCCTCTGTTCCATACTGGGCCGTGACACTGCCGTGCTCTCTCCCTCAGATTCAGTGAGTCTGGCCTATCAGCGGGTCCAGAAGGTGGACTGCACCTCTCTGAGGCCTGTCCTGATTCTGGGGCCTCTGCTGGATGTGGTGAAGGAAATGCTAATAAACGAGGCTCCTGGCAAGTTCTGCAGATGCCCGTTGGGTAAGGGACTGCCCTTGGAGCCCACTCACTGGGTTGTGTCTGTCCTTGTCCACCTGCCAACCCCCTGCTGACTCAGGACCTGCCTGTGGCCTCCCAGAGAGGACAGCAGTAGGGGCCCCGAGGGTGGCTGTGCCGTGTTCCTCCTCGCTCCGTCAGGGCTCTGCAGGCCCTGGGCACCCTGACCCCTATGCCTGTGCCTTGCAGAAGTGATGAAGGCCTCCCAGCAGGCCATCGAGCGGGGCGTTAAAGACTGCCTGTTTGTCGACTACAAGCGGAGGAGCGGCCATTTTGATGTGACCACGGTGGCTTCAATAAAGGAGATCACAGAAAAGGTACCTGTGGCCTGAGCCCGAGGGCCGAGGGCCTGCGGGAGCCCCGGGGTGTGTGCTCCTGTGGCATGACTACCACGCAAGTTTCCCGGTGGTGTCATGAGAGGGGGTCTGAGAAGAGCCCGGGACTGTGGGGGAAGTCCTCTCGCGGGGCATCCTAGGACAGGGACCCTGAAAGCAGACTCTGAACTCCTCAGCAGTTTTTAGGGACAGGGAGCAACATTCTGTCAGGTCTCTGCCTCCAAGAAGGGACCTGACAGCAGGATCTGACAGGATCTGATGCTTCTGATGTCCTGAGGTTTATGCACTGGGCAGCCAGAGGAGGGGGTAGCTATAGGGTGTGTTGGCAAAGCAGCCACCCAGGAGTCTCAGGGGACCTGTGGGATGTATTCCAGTCACAGCCACACAGATGGCATGTGCCCATTCCCCTAGTCTGGCAGAGTGTCTGTGAGGCTGGGATGGGTTGGGACTGTAGGAAGGTCCCTACATCCAGGCAGAGACAGGACAGGAAGTTTGGAGTTGGGCTGGCCAGCCACTCAGCCCTGTTCCAGGCTGTGACAGCTATCAAAACTGCCCGTGTGGGGAGACGTTCCTGGGTGAGGTCTCCCTGCGGGTCATCTGTGTGGCCCTCTGAGAGACTGGCTCTGCTGCCTCTTTCGCATCTCCGTTGTGAGGGAGGGTAGAGGTGGATGAGGCGGTGGGGGTTGTTGGGGGAGTGGCGCCCCCTTGGTGTCAGAAGAGCAGCGCGGAAGGTGTCTGCTGAAGGCCGGCCCCTGCCTGCACTCCACACTCAGTCTGCATCCGCCCCACAGAACCGACACTGCCTCCTGGACGTCGCCCCCCACGCCATCGAGCGCCTGCACCACATGCACATCTACCCGATTGTCATCTTCATCCACTACAAGAGCGCCAAGCACATCAAGTAGGTGCCCGGCCCCTGTGGCTCAGCCAGGGTCCACGCCAGCTGTGGCTCTGGCCACCCGGCCAGTTCCTGAGCATGGCCATCTCTGTGTGCATTGCCTCCCTCCTCCCATCCTCCCCCTTTCCTCTCAGTGTGCAATGGGTGGCTGGGGCTGGGTCTGCCCAGTCCTGCTCACGACTGGCCCTCCACGCCTGGCCTCCCTGTGCTGTGTGCTCCCGCATGTGCCCGGTGCCCTCTGGCTGCCTGTGCATGTGCCAGGTGCCCACCTTCCCCGGGGACCTGCTCTGTGGTGGAGCACCCTGCCTCCGCCCCTGCCTTGCTGGAGCCCCTGCTGCCCTGGACAAAGACGAACGCCCTGGGGAGACTTCAGGCTCAGCCTGGTTGCCCGACTGTCCCAACAGGGAGCAGAGAGACCCCATCTACCTGAGGGACAAGGTGACACAGAGGCATTCCAAAGAGCAGTTTGAGACAGCTCAGAAGATTGAACAGGAGTACAGCAGGTACTTCACAGGTAGGTGACCAGCTGGGATGGGGGGATGGACACGGGCTTCCACAGCCAGCCTGGTCTGAACAGGTGGCAGCCCCCCTCCTGGACAGGCGAGGTGTTGGGGTGCAGTCACAGGCAGAGCCCGGCTTTCCCCAGGGAGGAGCGCTCAGCCCCCTGGCTGGCCTCAGGTCATGGTCTGGCCTCGTCTGCCCCAGTGCTCGCAGCAAGGCCGCCGTGCCGCACAGCTGCAGTGTCCCGGGCATGTGGCCTCTGTCCCCCACCCCTCCAGGGGAGGCCAGTTTTGCCGAGGGATTTGGTGAGGAAAAGCTGTGCTCTTACCATCTCTGCTTTGTAAAGTCAGCCATGTCTGCAGAAGCTGCTGCTGCCGTCTCACCTTCTGCATTTCAGCCGCTGGGGTAGAATCAGCCACCTGCATGGGGTTAGCATGAGGCCAGAGAGAGGAGGGGTCAGGGGCTTAACTGTGTCATGCAACGTTGTCATCTGGTACGGAGCTTCCTGTAGGGCAAGTCCAGGACCCAGCGTGGTCTTGTCTGTGTGCACGCGCACTGTGCACGCATGCGATTTTAATTTCCACTTCACCACCGCCCAGTGCTTTAGTCAAATAGGTAAATGACTCCTAGAAAAATGAAATATGAAAACGCTACAACTTAAAAAAAAATCCCTATTTTTTTTTTATTGCATTCAACAGACATAAAGTCGAACCATCCCATTCCCAGAGCATTCTAAATGCTGTCACTTTCTGAGTGCTCCTCGTCACAGCCGGGGTGTGGGGGGAGGGGGCTTTGCCAACTATGCTGTTCTGTGGAGCACACTGGGAGCAGCCCTAGCCTGGTGTCAGTGGTCCCCTGGCTCCGCACCTCTCCTCTGCTGGGACTCTTCTCCAGGCCACGGACGCCTGGTTCCTTAGACCTCTCCTTATTTTCTGTAGAGTACTTCAGTACTTCTGCCAAAGGGGTATTGCCACATGTCCCCACGCTGCTTCCCACGTGCTGCATCACCCCTCAGTAGTGGGGCAGACACTTTATTTGGGAGTAGTCACCTCCTCAGGGGCAGTTGCTTTTCCTTCTCTTGCCCAGTTTCTGGCAGAGGGAGGAGAGTTGCGGGGTGGGACAGGAGCCCTGCCTTGCTTAATGAAGTCGGGCACGCAGTGGAGAGGGCACACTGTTTTCATTGACCTCAAAGCGGTGTTTCCTTGGAGCTGAATGGCCTGTGTGTGTTTGGGGGGCTCTTCTGCAGGGGTCGTCCAGGGAGGAGCCCTGTCGAGCATTTGCACTCAGATCTTGGCAACCGTCAATCAAGAACAAAGTAAAGTCCTGTGGATCCCCGCCTGCCCGCTCTAGGGGAGGTGGGCACCAGGAGGCGACTGGACCGGCCCGCTGGTGGGGAGACCGGCTCGCTCTTCTCCAGCAACTGAAAACAGAGATGGGCCTGTTTATGAACATGCAGGGGAAGGATCCAGAACCAGGACTCCAGAAGCCCCTCCTTTGTCGACAGAGGGGGTCGGCGGCTCGGATCTGGGCCCAGGCCGGCAGACTGCTCCTCTCACATGTGCTTTAAGACAAAACAAAGCAGAAAACGCAAAAGACTTGATAGAGGGGTACAACTCCCACCTTTCTATAGCCAGCCAATCAGTGATGCTGCACAGAGAGCCTTTCAGATCACAAGTTTACAAGCCTTTTCTAAGTATCTGGTGGTTATGTTTACGTGGACGCCCCATGCTGCTGGTGCCCACCACACCCCTTCCGCCCCCTGTTGCTTTAGTTCCCCAAATGACCCTGGAACCTCACGGGGTTGGGGGGTGGGGCGGGCTGCCCCGCCTCAGGAGGTTCTTGTCAGTGGGACCAGAGCTTCGGCAGACTCCCTGCTCCTCAGAGGCGGTACCTCTCCTGGAAGGACTTCGTCACTTCAGGTGCTCAGACTGCTGGAGACGGCAGAACCAGTGCCTGGGTGGGGTCAACTCGCCGCCGGCGCTGCGTTTTCCTCCCACGCCCGGGAGGGCAGCGTGGGCATCCTCACAAACTCGCCTCTTGGCCTTTCCCTCCTGTTTCTCCACCCCCCCAAGCGCTCATGGGTCTCCTGACTCTTCTCCAGCTGTATTTGTTATTTAAACATTCTGTCTGGTCCATCACGTCTCCGTCGGGTCTCAGCCGCAGGGCTGGCTCCCAGGCAGGGTGTCAAGCAAGGGTGGACGCGTGCCATGGCTCCCCTCGAGGTTCTGAGAGCCCCGACGGGGCTTCGTGGAGCAGGGCAGGTGCATCCGAAAACATTCACGTTTCAGATGTTTGAATGAGAGCTTGTAGGGGGAGTCTCATGGTTAGCGTAGCCACTATTGAATATCTCAAAAAGAAAACCTGCGACCTTGTTCATCTTGGTCCCAGGGCTCACAGCACGGGCCTGACTTTGGCCTTTGTCGGGTTACTTTGGGCTCAGTTGGGCTTCTCTCGTTTTCTTTCCTTTGCACTTCCCATGCCGTGCGAGTCTGGCTGAAGATTTGATGTGGTTCCTCCTTAAACGGTGTGTCCTGTTAATAGGTACTGTACCGGGCTCCGCATAAGTGTCGTTGGGGGTAGGACCTATATTTTAATACTGTTCCTAACATTTCATTTTAATAGCAAGGTGTCTTTGATTTGATTTGATTCTTTGTAATTCTAGAAACTAGATTGTAGTTTAGTCATTACTGACATCTTTTTTTTAAAAAAAGGGATATATTTTCTTGCACAGCTATTCAAAAGAGAAACAAGTCTCAGTCCTCAGTGCTGTCCTTTGTTTTCCAGGTACAAGTTTTCTAGCTCAGACAACTGAGAAAAAGTGTAGACCATTCTCGAGGCATTGCTTGCACGCTGTTTTTCTACGTTGCAGGCAGATCGGGCTGTGATGGGCGGTGTGCAGGCGGGTACGGATCTGACAGCCTGGGATGTTCTGTACTAAAATGTTACTTTGTATCAAAAAGTTTTAGTACAACAAAATAAAGGTCAATTTCAGTAAAGCCTGGTGTGTAGATCCCTGAATCCCTGTTTCCCGCCTTCCCCAGGTGCACCCTGCATTCCACCTGTGCAGCATGTGGCTGGACTGGCAGGTGGGGGAGGTCCTTTCCTGCTCTTGTGGGCAGAGGTCCCTTTTACCTACTGCCATCACACCCTCTCTGACTCCCTTCTTCCCTTCCCATCTGATTGTCCCGTGTGTTTTGTGGGGTGCTGGCTGCAGTGGGGCCACTTGAAGGGGTGGGCCGAGCCATGAGTAGCAAAGAGGTGTGAGCTAAGCCCTCAGGGGGTCCCTGAATGTTCTCAGGCCTCGGGTGGGAGGGTCCCCCTACCTGGCGTGGGACCTCAGAGCATCACATTGTTGCATCACCAGTAGGGCCCCTGTCATGGCCTGCTTGGGCTTCAACTCCATGTTCAGGATGGTGGGAAAGGGGGAAATGAGGGGAAGTTGGAAGGTGTGGCCTGTGGCTTCCAGAGCTCAGGTACAGCTAAAATACCAGAGAGCCCCTCAGAGAAGAAGGCTGCCCTAGGGTGTGTGTGTGTGGGGGGGTGTGGATGTGTGGTGGGGGAATAGGCATGCCTAGGGCCATGTGACCTGACCCATAGCATTTTGGAGTTTGGCGTTAGTTTTTAAAGGCAGTCTACAACAGGGAACATAGTATGAAAAGTATCTTAAATCTGTTTATCGTTGAGCCAGACACAGGTCCTGCTTTGCACCGCCCAGCTGGGGTTGGGGGATAAGGGAAGACCCAGCCCTGCAGCTGCAGGAAATGGAAGGTCTTTTTGCTGGCGTTCCACAGGAAGAGCGCTCACCTGGCCTGGCCTCCATGCTGATGTAGTATTCTGAGCCTGAAGAGAGGAGGCTGGAGGAAGGGACACTTGGTCTTCAGTAGTCCAGGGAAGGGAGGGGAAGAGTGTGTCACAGATGTCACCAAGAGGAAGGCAACAGTTGTTTCCACAGAGGATTAGGAGAAGTCTGTGGCCTTCCTGCCCACCCGCAGTGCTGTGAGGCAGCAGTGCCCTGGGGGTCATGACTGAATGGAACCCAAAGACAAAAGGGCCGCCCTGCCCTGGAATCTTGGGTACTGTGTCCTGCTGTGGGATAGGCTCTGATCTTTGTAGGGCACCTCCTGTGTGCCAGACACTATACATGGTGGACATTTACGGGCAGTATACATTTTCTCAGGATTAAAATGCTTTATTTTATGTTTTTTAATGGTACTTTGTGGCATTCTTTAAAAATTCGAATTAAAAAGAATTTTGAAGTTATCTAAATATGGCCAAAGGTTGTCATTTTGAAACCAAAGAACATTCTATTTTAATACGCTGAGCCAGACCTGCAAAACTAGATTTAAATAAGAGGGCTTGTGCCACACATGAAATAGCTGCTGTCATTATTTTCTTGCATTGGATGCATTCTTAGAGAAAGCATGGCTGTAACCTAGTTTTATCTCCCTGTGTTTTGCCATGAGTTGTATTTAGAATTTTTTTTTTTAGTTGTTGAAGGACCTTTATTTTATTTATGTATTCATGTGGTGCTGAGAATCGAACCCAGTGCCTCACACATGCCAGGCAAGCGTGCTACTGCTGAGCCACAGCCCCAGCCCCTAGATATTTTTTAAAAAATATATATTTTTAATTGTAGGGAACACAATGTCTCTTTATTTTTATGTGCTGCCAAGGATTGAACCCAGTGCCTCACACTTGCTAGGTGAGCACCCTGCCACTGAGCCACAACCCCAGCCCCGTATTTAGATATTTTATAGCATTCCATCCTGCATTAGAAAATATGTTTAGATATAATTTCTAATTAAATAGTTTGAAACTGAAGGTCCCAGGGGCAGACTTCTCCAGATGCCAATAACAGTGACAGAGATATCTGTACACAGTGTGAAAGAGCCCGTCTTCCATTTTATCTGATCCTGCTGATCTTGAGATGGAAACACGGTGTTAGACCTCAATAAAATGTCTGTAGGTGCTCTTGGGCACTCAATGCATGTCCTACTTCCGGAGGGCATATATCTGCTAGGGAGGAAATATAAGGTGATCTGCATCTCCTGGAGATTTTCTTTCTAGCGTCTCCAAAAGCATTTTAAGGAGGACTTGGGCGTACCAACACAGCCTTGAAGATGGAATAGCTGGAGTCAGACTTGGCATTTCTTGACAAAGTCTGAGGAAGAATTTGGTGGTCAGACTCCAATTTTGCCACGTAGTGAACCAGGAGGAGGTGAGCCATCAAACACTTGGAACTACAGTTTACTTACATAAAAGTCCGAGTTGGGAAGGGTTAACAGCCTTGAGAAAGTGCTTAAAGCCAGGGTGTGGTTGGAAATGAAAAGGGAAAGGGAATAGCATGTGGTAACCTTCACATTAATATTGTCCCCTTTCTGGAATAATCCACATCTTCCCTGCCATTTAAAAAATTTCCTTCAATGTCCACAACAATAAGCCCCCCCCGGCCCCCCTACACACACCCCATCATCATATAGTCTGTGCACACTTGTGGGTGACACTCTGGTCCTAGTCATGAGAGAGAGCACTGATCCATGCATTTAGTGGCATGGAGTGTTTCTGTAAAGGCCACACGGGTGCCTTTCTTTACCATCTTTGCTTCCAGATCCTGAAGGAACTGTTTTCCTCTCATCAGATACAGAGTGCCACCCATGCCCAGCCACAGTGAAGCCAAAATGAGATCATTCTGTGGTCCAGAGAACTGTCCTTGGTGGTCACACTTATTATGAGATGGAAAGCAGTCCTTGTCACTTAGCATCTGAAGGACCACACGTGACCTGTGAGTTTTGAAGGACCCCCAAAGAGTTCAGAGGTCTGCTGAAAATGTTGGCGTGGTTCCTGCAGTGGGGACGGATTTATTCTGGGTCTTGACAGTTGTAATTAGATTAAAAGCTCAGTCTCTCCAAGCCGGAAAAGGCGCTCAAGGCATATCCTGCTTCTGGAGGGTGTTTATCGGCTGGGCAAGAAATTGTTTTGCAGTCGTTCCCTGCACAAGTCCTTCTAGAGGTGGACACCCAAGGACAGGTTGGGGAGCAGCTGAGAGTCCCTGCTGATCTCAATGGCAAAGGGAAAGCTACTGGTTGTTCCCAAGCTACCTGTTATGTTCTCCATTCTTCTTGACAGGAGGATTGCTGGTTATCAGTTCTTCTCCTCTGTTCGTTGAGTTAATCGTCACCAATAACAGCAGCACTCTTTCATTTCCTTACTGCTGTGCTTCTTCCTGTTTCCTTTAACCTGCAGCTGATTATTTCCACTGCCATGTTGCCCTTTGTGATTCCTGTGATGTCAACCCCCTCCCCCTTCTGAGTTCTGAGGACTCTTACACCCTTGCTCCTATCCTTATTCACAGCAGAGTCTTTGGTTTCCATGGTAGGCTTCAAGTGAGGGTGTTTCTCTAGAGATTCTTTAACCTGTGCATTTGCTGTATTTTGCCCTCCGTGGTCTGCAGCTCCTGATAAATGCTCAAGACTCTCAGAAATACTTAGAATCCCAAGGTGATTCTTCCTCTTCTTCTTCTACTAACCATAACTACTTCTACTAACTGGATGTAATGTTACTCTTTATTATTTCTCCACCAACATAATTCAAATTGCCATAATTTGTTCATTCTCATGAAGCACTTTCCGTAGTATCAATACCATTTTCTTTTCCAATTGCTGGCTCTATTGCTCCTTCCTGTTTTTTTCCAATAGTTTTCCACAACTGAATAAAATGTATGGGTTTTTTTGGGGGGCGGGGGCACACTATTGGGGATTGATCCCATGACCACCTAACCATTGAGCTGCTGGATTGTAGGCATGAGTCACCATACTTTTGGGACGTTTTCTGGAGGAGCAGCTGCAGCAGCCTATAATACTGGATGTCACCCTCCCAGATGTGTGCAGGGATCTGGCAAGTCTCAGACCGGAGCTCATCACTGAGCAGAGCAAGCTGATGCTCCCACAGGGGCTAGAGATGTGCATAATGCTGAAGACCCAGCTCACGGGCCCGAGCCCCCTCTGAAGCTCTCCCCGCTGCTACAAGAAAGAGTTTTAATTGGTAAAACTATAAACTGTAGTTGTTTTTGTTGTGGCATATTCAAGCATGCACACAACTGAGTTTGATTGGTTTCCCCAGTGCCTCCTCATGCCCTTCTGCCCTCTACCCCCTTGCTCTCCTTCAATGACCTTACTTGTATCCCTGCTATTTTCGTAAGAACCCCCTTTTCCTTTTTTCTCTCTACCTTCTACATATGAGAGAAAGCATAGGACTCTTGACTTTCTGTGTTCCCGTAGCTGGGACCGAGTTCCTGACAACCTCCTTGGCATTGTGTTGGATCCAATGGAGAAGATAATTGCCAGAGCTGATCAGGTTCAAAGAGTTTGATTAAAGCCTTTAGGACGTCCATCTGCAAACCGGAACTGACCTACTCAGTAAGGTCATCACTGTGCCACCTTTCCAGCTCCCAGGGAAGAAACTGGCCGAGCAAATCAAGGCGGCGGCTGCATGTACCCAATGGCAAAAGCTGGCACAGCTAGAGGATGCTCAGAGCAATACATGCATGCAACAATTGCAGCCCCCCACCCCCACTCCACCGAGGTGCAGCCAACGTGCAACCAATCTTGGCTGTAGTGGAAAAGGTTAAGGTTCTCAAAAACCTTTCCCTGTTGCCAGGCACCAACAACCCCCTGCCCCCATAGGGATTCAAACCTCAGGGGAGGTTTCCCAGCCATTCCAGGTAGTCAGTTAGTGGAGCAAGAAACAGCTCATTCTTGCACGTTGATTTCAAAGCCCCAGAAAGGACAGCAGGAGCTACAGCCATGATAACCATGCTTGAAACTGCTTCAGTATTCACATGCGGGCCCCGGCATGGAGATGTGCCCCCCACCCCAAGGTACACTCAGTGGCCTCTAACTGATTGGCAGTCGATATGACAACTGAACCAATCTGCAGGACAGAATGTAGGAGTGAGAAGAGCCAGACCCCCGCCTCCATCCCCCCCAAGTTGAGAGGA